TTTGTCGATTATTATTATTATTATTATTATTATTATTATTATTATTATTATTATTATTATTATTGAAGTTTCTAAAAAAAAAAAAAAAAACTATCAGGGAAAGCGGGGGAGAAGGGGGAGAGAGAGGGGGAAACAAAAAAAAATTTTTTTTTTTTTTCAAATTACTTTTAAAAAAAATAAATAAATAAGGTTAATTATAAAAATAAATAGATGAAGATCTGATGTTAAATAATAATAATAATAATAATAATAATAATAATAATAGTAATAATAATAATAAAAATAATAATAGTATTTTTAAATGGGTTAATTAACGCTAAAAATTAATTTCGTTTTTTTTTTGTTATCCTTGAATGACGCGAATTAATAATAATAATAATAATAAAATCTCAAATTTTCAATATATGTTTACAAAAAAAAAAAAGATTTTAAAGTTATAATTTTAGAGGGAAATTATTATTATTATTATTATTATTTCGTTCCGGAAAATTATTTATCATTAAAAATTATCCACCGGAATTATTATTATTATTAATATCAGTACGATTATTTAATAAAATAATATAATAATTTGTGCCTTTTTTTGTTTGGAAAAGGGGAGGTGGGAAAAGTGGGGGCGTGGGGGTGAGGGCGGGGTGGGAAATGATTTATTTGTTTGCAAAAGGAAAATTTTTTTGTAAATATTATTATAATATTATAATTATATATAATCAAGCGATAAATAATAATAATAATAATTATAAAAGATATATTACGTGAAATTTTAAATTTACGGATGAAATTTACGCTATAAAATGGTTAGAAAAGACTGGGGAGGGGAGGGGAGGGCGTTTAACTGACCAATGGCCAAAGGAGGTGAACGATATTTAAGTGGGAGATTTATTATTTAGTTTAATTCGTTCATTTTTATACCAATGTTTCGTTCGCGCCATTTAGGTCGAGGCGTTAAAAACCGTCGCGGGGTGACCGTGACTTGTGGGTCAATGACGTATTAATTTGATCCAAACGTTCGACAACAAAAAAAAAAAAAAAAAAAAAAAAATTTTTTTTATTAATACCTTTCTACCTACTATAAATAAGTATTTTTATTTATTTATTTATTTAAAATTTTTTTATTCAGGGATTTTTAAAAAAATAGGTCACATGATATTCTGGACACACGTATGGATAATATGGGGAAAAACTAAATTTTTTTTTTTAACGGGATTAATGTCGTCATCGTCGTCTACGTCATCATCGGGATTTTCAAACGGTTAATTTTAAATAAACTTACTTTTTCGGTAAAGACACGTCTGAAAGTTTCTCTCGTGTATCTAGACGATCCGTCAGCAGCTAAATATGCCGAACATTGTTTTAATAATGTTGCACGAGTTCGTTCTCTCAATGCTTCTTCTTCCATCGATGACATTTTCGACCATTTTTCTTCTTTCATTTTATTGTTATCATCAACATCTTTATTAGAACTTTTTGAACTTTCCCCTCCGAATTCGTTCAAATTTAATACATTATTTAATTTATCATTTTGACCGCCGGATGTCGCCATCGTCGTCGGATTTTTTTCCATATCCGGCGTTTCGATATTTTCAAATTTTTTTTTATTTAAATTATCATATTGACTAGAATTAGTTTCCTCGTTATTTACACTTTTATATTTAGTTTCATCTGAATGAATATTTCGTACGGCCCAACGTCCGCTTCCTCCTCCTAATTTTTTTTCTAAATTTCTTTCTAAATTTTTTTTTTCACCGTGTATGGTATTGGCAAAAGTTTGTATTTTATTATCTATGGTTTTTGTGTCCGTTTCCGGAGTAGATAATTTTTCAATATCCGACATGCCTGCTATAATATCATCTCATAATAATAAATTTATTTCATCTGAAAATTTTTTTATATTTTTTTTATTCCTTTAATTAATTAACAACCGCCATTGTTGTATAAAACGAATGAAAAATTTGACGCACGTATAATATGATAAATGACGTCATTACGTTAAATTTCAATACGATTATATAAAAATGAACCCCCCCTTAAAATTGACAAGTATGAAAAATGATTATTATTATTATTATCATAAGTAAAAATTATTTATTTAAACCTTTCGACAATACGTTTCATAATCATTATTATCTTTCTATCTTAACATACATACTCAATAACAAAAAAAAAAAAAAAAAAACAAATAAATACAATACGTGTTCTAGTTATGAATAACAAATAAATGAATAAGCAAATTTTTTTATAATTAAACCTATGGTTTCATAACAAATAAACGCGTTAGTTAGTTACCTAATTATGTTTGCTTATCATAAATTAAAATTTATTTATTTTTTTCGTATTAATTAATAACTTATTGTTGGTTTTTTTATTTTAAAAAAAAAAAAATGAAATTTAAAAAAATCACGAAGAAAATTATCAGAAAAAAATTTAATACTAATAACTAATCTAGTCAATTTTTTTTAAAATCGATCGATCGATCGATCAATAAATCAATAAAATTACCAATAATAATAATAATAAAATTTGAAAAGTTATTATTTTTTTTTTTTGTTGGTAACCGTTTATTACTTAAATTAAATTTTAATTTTGTCTGTTATTTGTTATTATTTAATTATTTAATCCGACGAAAATCACATAAAAAATTATTAAATACTTTTATTATTATTATTAATATTATTGTTATTATTATTTTGTTTTATTTAAATAATGTCAATCTTACGATGCGAAAAAAAAAAAAATTTTTTTTTTGTTAATAAAGGTTTAAAAGAAGGTTTTACATGTGACCTAAAAAAAAAAAAAGGAAAAGAAGAAAACACACCGATAGCGAAATCCGGAAAAGTCACAGACAGACACATGAAAGAAAACACAAACACATTAGGTTCCACTTGTAAAACTGATTCAAAACAATCCCGAGGCGCGTCGAAGTCTACTAACTGGAGAACACCTGCTCCTTCTCTCGAACCACTTTCAAAAGCAGCTTCCAGTTTGACCCGCGAGTACATTACATCACTAACAAGGATAGCCCCTGCACTCTTATAATAATGCAAATTTTTACTTTGTACCACTTATTCCTAATTACTAATCATTCTTTGAATGGATTCAATCATTCCATTAAACCCTTCTTCTAATTATTTTCCTGATACATAAAAAAGTAGGAAAGAAAATTATGGTCGTCTTCTAATAACAACATATCTGACTAATAAAAAAATAATATTTTTTTTAACTTAAAAAATTTATTTTTTATTTTTCGGGAGGGTTTTCTGGAATAAAATGAAAGCGTAGTCAAGGAAATCGGAAGCTTTTCATTGCCGTTATTAGTCATTATGGAGGTTAAATGACTCCAGAATAAAATCTCGAGGTTTTTTATCCCGTTTAATTACTATTAAAAATTTAAAAACAATAAAATGAATTTTTATTTGTCGATTTGAAGGTAATACCAATAATAACTCCTCCCAATTGGATAAAATTGTGCATTGTGCACAACATGGTTAAATCGGTGTGAAAAACTAGGTCAACCAATAAGGCACCGTTCTTTTCCTTCATTGGCCAGTAGTAAACATTATTCACAAATCATTTAATTTATATATATATATAAATTTTTTTTGTTTATTTATCATTTCCGGAATCGATGTTAAAGTAGGGCGAGGACTTTAATTAATTCAATGATTTCATTTTATATTAAGAGATTGAAACAAATAACTTTTCCATTTGGTCCTCCTGCTGCTGCCACTGCTGCTCCTGCCACTGCTCCTGCCACTCCTACTGTTGATGTTTCCTTCTGTTGCCACTGCTGCTTCTGCCACTCCTCCCGTTGATGTTTTCCTTCTTGATTTATTATAAATTCCTCCTTGAATTTAATGACGAATGATTTT